AATTTTTTGTGTCAATTGAAAACGTGACTTTACATATATGAATTCATTTTAAAATTAAGAAGTTACACAATATAATTTCAAGATCGTCACTATGTGACAAATGTGATAAAGAGAAATTCCACTATGCTATTGTTGACAGCATAGTGGACATCCTTATAATTGGTAATGATTTTCGTTGATCATATTTTGATTTTATCACGCAAAAAAGCAAATTTGATTGGCCCAAATAAATTACACAAAATTTTAAAGAAAAAAAAAGAATTTTATTTTTTATTTTTTATGAAGCTTCACTAAATAAATCCTTGTGTGTGTCTTGCTAACCCAACATTTAACCAATTATAAAAAAGTGTGCAAGTTTTATCAAGTATATATTGGAAGCAAATTTTTATTTATCTTATTTGAGGTGTGGACAATAGAAACAAGGCCAACATCTATCAATCATAAATAACGTTTTTTATTAGTGTATATTTATCTAATATGTAAAAAATAAAAAAAATAATACATTTATGACTGCCTTTTATGTCTCAAGTCAACCATACAGCATCAATGTATAAATAATGTTTATTAGTATGTACTTTCCGATATGTAATAAATAAAAAAAAAATAATATATATGTATACATTTATGACTACCTTTTATCTCTTGTATAAATAGCATTTTTTATTATGTACTTATTATTATCCCAATATGTAATAAATAATATGTATGTATGTGTTGCTCTAGCACAATTACCTTTATGTCTAAAGAAATAAATGAAAAAGAATAAGTGTAATTGAATTAATTTTTGCACACCTTGGTAAAAAAATATGTATACTTTTTGGAATTTTTACCTCTTATTTAGATCTTGCAATCTGCTGGATTAACTGGGTTATTTTTAACCAAGAAAGGCTTTCAAAGGAAGGTATGTTCTTGCAAAACATTCTTTGTTGTTATAATGTATTTTAGTCATGTTACTTATGACCCACTATGCTACTATTATGTTATGTGTCTTAAAAATTTTGTTTCTCATCTAGTTTTTGATAGGACCAAGATCTGAGGATCTTATTTTGCCCAAACATAAAGAAAAGAATAAACAACTTATCAATATAAAAAAATAATATGCAAGGTGCATTAGTTTTTTTGTACCGATATTCCTCTTTTTTTTACTTTAAAATAATTGAAAATTTCTGTTTCACAATATAAAAAAGATCGATGTTCAATTTTGTCACTTTGTGATAAATAGGATGTCCATTATGCTATTTTTGACAACATGATGAAAGTTTGATTTCATTGGCTAAATTTTGTGATGATTTCCCTTCCAGACATCACGCAGAATTAAATTTTATTGGCTTGATGATCATTGCTGAAACTAGATTTTTCAGGCGAACTCTGAATTTAAATATTATTATGCTAAAATTAGACTTTTCGGG